GCAATGTCTCAATAAACGTTTTATTTCTTTGAATAAATGCTGTTGGGAACTGGTTGCCTCAGAAAGTCAGACATTCTGTCCCCCCCCAAAAAAAAAACCCCGTAAAAACAGCTGAGCAGATGGAGTAGGTTGACAGCCTTGAAAAGACCCAGCAGAAGTTAAGCTCTGAGTATTTTTAGAATATTTGGACAAAGTGGTAAGGTCTGGCATGCATTGTACTGGCCCACAAGTCCCAAAGTTGCAGGAATGATCTGCCTTCCTGACCACAATCTAGGCAAGGTAGAAGAAGAAGAGATTGGATTTATGCCCCACTCTTCACTACCCAAGGGAGTCTCATAGTGGCTCACAATCTCCTTTCCCTTCCCCTCCCCACAATAGATACCCTGTGAGGTAGGTGGGGCGGAGAGAGCTCTGACAAAAACGTCCCTTTTTCAAGGACACCTCTGACAGCACTATGGCTTGCCCAAGGTCATCCAGCCAGGTGCAAGTGGAGGAGGAGTGGGGAATCAAACCCGGCTCTCCAAGATTGGAGTCCGCACACTTAACCACTGCACCAAACTGGGGGTAGGATGGCTGCAAAGGACATCTCCCCCCCCCCGATCACCAGATGATGCTCTCCTTGGTGGGGCATTATCATCTCTTGTGATTTTTTTAATCTTACTTTCAAACAACAACAAATTACCTTTTTATGTATTCGTAGAAGCTTGAAAAAACTGTTAGAATCAAGTCCAGGAGAACTTTAGAGAGCAACAAGAGTCTGAGGGTGTAAGCTTTTGATACTCAATGCTCCCTTTGTCAGAAAGAAGAAGAAGAAGAAGAAGAAGAAGAAGAAGAAGAAGAAGAAGAAGAAGAAGAAGAAGAAGAAGAAGAAGAAGAAGAAGAAGAAAAAGAAGAAGAAGAAGAAGGGCTTTTTCTGCCCTGGCCCCCTATGGAGATCAGGGCCCTGCATAGGGATCTTCTTCAATTCCGCAGGGCCTGGAAGACGGAGCTCTTCCGCCAGGCCTTTGGCTGAGGCAGCGGGCGTCCAATCATGACCCTCCTGAGTTTGCGATATCCCACCTACTGATAACTGGCCATACCTAGTTACATCAATAGGCCAGATTCCTCCTTACGGCAAGCATGACTACTGCTTTTGCATGTTTAAAAGTGTTTTAAATTTGATTGTATTTATTAGAATGTTGTAACCCACCCTGAGCCCATTTACGGGATGGGCGGGATATAAATGCAAGAAAGAAAGAAAGAAAGAAAAAAAGAAAGAAAGAAAAAAAGAAAGAAAGAAAGAAAGAAAGAAAGAAAGAAAGAAAGAAAGAAAGAAAGAAAGAAAGAAAGAAAGAAAGAAAGAAAGAAAGAAGGAGGAGATTGGCTTTATACCCCACCCTTCACTTGGAGTCTCAGAGCGGCTTACAAACTCCTTTCCCTTCCCCTCCCCTCCCCACAACAGACACCCTGTGAGGGAGGTGGGGCTGAGAGAGCTCTTTCGAAGACTGCCCTTGAGAGAACAGCTCCAACAGAACTTGTGACTGACCTAAGGACACCCAGCTGGCTGCATGTGGAGGAATCAAACCTGGTTCTCCCAGATTAGAGTCCGCGCTCTTAACCACGACACCAAACTGGCTCATACCCCCCCAAAAAATCTGGTTGCTCTCAAAGGTGCTCCTAGACTTGAATTTAGCGGTTCTGCTGCACAGAAACACAGCTGCCCTCTGGAATGATTATTTCACTGTTCATTGAATGTCCCATCCTGTCAATTGTCTTGACTCTCTGTGTGTAATCCTCCTTGCGTCCCAATAAGAAAGGAGGAGTGTAAATAATACAAAAATAGGAAGAAAATAAAGCAGAAAAGCAGCCTCTCTTCCTTCTTTAACCCCTGCCCCCCCCCCAAGAGCCCGGCAACACACTCCCCGCCACAGCGCACCACTTACCCGTTGTCGGCTGCACACAAGTTCTCATCCTGCCCACCTTGCAACACTTCTCGCTTCCAGGGCAGGAGGCATCCGAGAGGCAGAAGGACTGTGAGGGGGGCACGTCCTGATCTCTGCCCGGTGGGCAACTCCCAGCCTTCTCTTTCGCAGGGGAGGAGAGGAGGAGGGGGCTCCTCGGTCCAGCAGCAGCTGTAAGAAGAGATCCGCGGGACCAGGTGGATGCCCACCTAGTCCAGGGTGGCTCCCGAGGGGCAGAAGGAGGGGGTCCCAGGGCGATTCGGCATTGGCTTTTCCCTCCGCTGTTTTACCAAAGTGCAGCTCAAAACCACCTTCAGATACCCCAGGGCAGTGCTCCCTCTAAGCTGCGGAGTCTTGTGAGCAAAAATTCTACTTTGCGAGTGCCTGGCATTAAAGCTGTGAGCGAGCGATTTGGTGACTGCATAAATTAATTTTCTCTGGAGCCATCCCTTCCTGAGGTAAGCCAAAAATCGGTGCGCCGGAGGCTCGAAAACTGTGAGCTAGCTCACAGTAACTCAGCTTAGAGGGAACATTGCGGCCTAGAGTAATGCTGTCCTGACTGCGGAGTATAAATCTATGCAGGAGGTACCATGAAATCCGATGATCAAGGAAAGTGAAAGCGGCATGCAGTGCAGAGGGGAAAATGTGTTCTGACGTGGAGGGAAAAGCCAGTGCAGACTCATCCACGGTCGGGGTCAGAGAGGAGGCTGACCCGGCGTTTCTTCACAAAGCAGGTAGGGTTGGTATGGAGCCTGCCCTTCCTTGCAGGGACCGTTGTGTGTTGGAATCCTTTCTTGGGATCAGTCTGGGAGAGAAAGTATCTCAGCAGGGGGCCCTGGAGTCGGTCTGTCTTTCCTTCCCTCCAACTTCCCTCTGCTTGGGTCCCAAAATCCCACTGGAGGATTCTCTGGAGTGGCAGCAAAGCAACGGTGGGAGGCTGCTGCCAGACTCCCCCAGCCCCAACAAATCACTGAACTTCACTCAGTTGCTCTTGGAGAGGGTGGGGAGCTATGCACCCTCTAAGCTGTGGAGTCTTGTGGGCAAAAATTCTGCTTTGTGAGCTCCTGGCATTAAAGTTCTGAGCGAGCGATTTGGCTGCTGCATAGATTAGTTTGCTCTGGAGAGAGATTAGAGGGAACATTGCCCCAGGGTAATGCTGTCCAGCTCTTTACCCATAAATTAGTTTGCTCTGGAGCCATCCTCCCTGAGCTAAGACAAATATGTGTGAGCCGGAGGCTAAGAAACTGTGAACCGACTCACGCTAACTCAGCTTAGAGGGAACACTGGTGGGGAAGCCCCCCACTTGCATCTGAGAACACACTGGGGCAGCTTTCTTTCTTCCTTCCTTCCTTCCTTCCTTCCTTCCTTCCTTCCTTCCTTCCTTCCTTCCTTCCTTCCTTCCTT